GATATACGATTTAAAAAATGACTTTTTGTATTATAATATAATGAATATAATCTTATTAAGAACAATCAATTATAATTAATTCTATTAAATCAGTACAAAAGTTCGTGCTCGATTTATTATTAATTTTGAATAATAAATCGGGCACTAACTTTTACATTGATCTAATATAATATAAGTAGATAAAATAAAATAAAATCAATTAGTATATAAAATTATTTCAACTAAAATCATGTAATTCAAAATAATACGTACAATAAGCATTACGTATATTTTTATAATATTATAGTAACGAGAAATAATAATGACAGTTGAAGTAGAGAAAAACCATATTATTTAACAAGTGATTGCTAATACCACTTATTTGTTTGATCAATTATTACATATACGCGCAGTAATAAAGTTTACAAAAACTGGTTTAACTTGGCGCATTGAACTTAAGTGTATCATTAGCGAGTTAAATTGATATCTTTCTTGAATAATGAAGTCATATACATCTGCTTATATTTCTAGAATCTGTAATTTCGCAATAAAATTTCTCAGCTAATAAATCAAACTTGATTTTGTTAAATTTGGCATTGAAAAAGGTCCACTTAAATCCACTTGTCTTTTCTCTTTTTTTTTTCAACGTTTCCTATATACTTTCTTTTTCAATTAATCCAATTTGACTGTAGTATTAAACTTGTTTAAGACTTGTAATTTTTAATTAAGCTACTTCCACGATGTTTCCCTCTTTTTCTCTTAAAAAAAAAATGAGGAAGAAAAAGAAAATGAACCATGCAAGAAATTTAATTTAAAAAAATAGGCTTGTATACAGTTTTTTTTTTCAAATCTATTGCAAATTATATTAAAATAATAAAATCCATATAGATCAATCTCAGATAAAAGAATAAGTATGAAAAATGTTTTCTAAGCATAATTATCATTTGTATTACAATTTTTTGGCTTTAACAGTTGCCGGTACTTGACGTTAAAGAGAGTTCTTATTTTTTTAAATTTACGATAAAAGATACCTAAAGTATTACAATATATACTTTTTAATATTCCTATTGCTGTGGTATCTCCAAAATAAGAAAAATAATATTTGTTTATTTTGTAGAATAAGTTATTAATAAATAATATAATAGCTGTAAAGATACTGTATAAGAAAAAATTGAATATATGTATATATATATATTTACATAATCGTACTCACATCCTCTATAGCAGAATTCTCATTAAGGCTCTCCGGTATTTCGTGTGCCGTTACGATCCAAGAGCCGGTATACTACTGACATTTACAATCTACAGGCCTCCTTTCAAGTATAGGTGAACGGACAATATCAATATCCCCACCTTTTGTGGTGAGAAACGATGATGAGAAAATGGCCTTGCTGCATAACTTTCTTGATACAACTTTAGGCAATTTTACACATTCTTCTTTCCATGAATGAACTTGAGATTATTTCAAACTATATTATAATTTGTAATTAAAAAAAAGACTAAAAACTTTGAGTATAAGAATCAAATAAGAATTAATTTTTTTAATCAACATTAAAAGTTATTTTCTCAGATATATATGTTCTTTGGATAAATTTGACGTCATATTACTGTTCTAAAATTCAATTTTTGCATTTATCCAAAAAATTTCTATATATAATGATAGCTGTAAATAATCAAAATGTGGTATAATGACATATAATAACTTAATAGCAGTGGCTAGTGAGTAAATATACGTTTATTCGCAGTTATTCGCACTGTATTAAATTAATACACATATTGAAAGCTACTTTATATAAAATATCTAAATAATTTAATGATACAGTGATATAATATAATCAACAACATTCTGTACCCTTATTTGAGTTAGTTATCTGTCCCGTAGTAGGAAAAAAAGAATCAAAAAGTTAAATTTTTGTCATACTTATATATTTCTTAAAAAATAAATTTTTAATAAACGATTTATTAGGACAGTATAATGTGAACACACAATAAGTAAGAAACAATGTCTATATTGATCGAAGCTGAATCTCGAATGCTTTAAATAATTTGATGTAAATTTATTATGTATACTATGTTTGTAGTCTCTCGAATTACACACCAAATTGATTTTCCGGGCTTAGAAATGCAACTGAACTACCATAATAATATATACAAATTAAATAGCTTAGCAATTAACAATTTAATACTCAAATAATTGACATTATTTTAAGAAAATCTAAATATATAGCTTTAAAATAAGTATAAAAAGGTTTATATAAAAATATTTGAATAAAAAATATTTGAGTGATTAATATTTAGTTAGTATTTAATTTATTAACAATATTCAATACTGAAATTAATTTAACTTAATTTATTAATTTTTTCTGAACTTCTTACATTGTACGTTTAGGTCTTCTTTTATAGCTGTGCAATTTGTTTATTTTTCTAGCACGTTTATACTTCGCAGACATTTTCTCTTTATATCTAGACATACGTTTTTTGTCCCGCTTTTGCCAGATTTCTACTGATGTCGCGCTTATTGTCATTTCAGAATTATTGTAAAATTTTGTTTATTCTTCTGTATCCTTCAAGATACTTTTCCAAAAATACATCTTGTTAAAGCTATAGTTGCGCAGAAGCAGTATTTATGAATATAGAGAATATAAAGAATTCAGGATAGCAAATACTTTTAATAGTTCTGAAGTAACAATAAATGCAACATCAGTGGAAATCGGGAAAAAGCGGGACAGAAAACGGATGTTTAGATATGAACAGAGTGTCAGTGAAATGCAAATGTGCTAGAAAGATAATATAAACTGCAGTTACATAGAGAATAAGCTTTATGTCAAGAAGTTTTCTCATCTCTCTCTCTTTCTTTCTCTCTTTTTCTTTCTAAATATAGTATACATAAAAATAAATATTTAAGTATTTCTAAATGTAAATATATACCTTCAATATGTGACTCTCAACACATTACCTCTTCAACATTATCCTTCCCCTAATTAAACTGAAAATTTCAATTAAATTGGAAATTAAAAGGAATAAATTACTAATTATTAATCGAAAAATGATTTATTTATCTAAAGTATAGATATCTAAAATAGTTGTTTGGTTAGCCGACAAATTAAATTATGCAATAGAATAAAATTTGATTCTTGATTTTTTTCTTAAAACGTGGCTTAATTTGAATATGAAGACTTTAACAACATGATAGACGAGTGTATCTTACTATTGACATGCAATATAAATGATAATAAATAATAATAATAAATCTCATTAATTTTTTATTTTTGATTTCACAGTTAAATTTGCAATTTCGCACTACTACCAGATTTCTAATTCGCTTTAGTTTCATGAAAATTGTGCGATCGCGAGCGTAATTTAGCGCGCGCGCCGTCGATTGATTGCGACTTCGCTGATTGATCCATTTCGACGGCGTTTTGCAGGATTTGTGCCGCCAGACTGGAGATGCGCAGATCCTTGAGCTTCATTGAACTCTCCAGATACGCGATCTTGTGGTTCAAAGTACTTATCACTTCCTCTTTTTCACGCAGCTCCTGCTTTAACTCCGAGTAAATCGTACGTTGCACATTTTCGTCGTTTGCTTCTTCAATCCGTCCCGTCGTGACGTCCGCGAGCGCATCTTTAAATGCGTTTGAAAATTTATTCATATTTGATTAATCACAAATTGTCTCACTTATATGTATATCAAATATCTCACGCTTGCGGAAACGAGGAAGTGTGCAATAGTTAAAAATATTCCATATACGGAAGAAGCAGAGAATCCAATTGAAGACGATGAGAATCCCTCGTTTGAGACACGTAAATTTCGATGATTTAATTTTACAAGTTTCGTTATCAGTACTTTGACTTTCTACTGGCAGTTTGAGATAATCGTCTAACGAGCTGTCTCCAATTTTTTCTCCTGATATGGAAAGTATAATAAAATTAAGATCGAACCCTTACAGTATAGAAGCTAAAATTGTAACAATATTATGCTGCAACATTTCAATGTTAAGAATGATATGTGTTATATGCGAGACAAGACAATGTATATTATTAATCAAATAAATATGGGTAAGCAAATGTGATTATATTTAATGTCTGCGCTTCATTGCCTTCTACATTGCTTTCTACATCTTTGACTTTCGGTTTATGTATCTCAACGTCGTCCCTCAGAACTTTCACTCTCAGCTTCGTTAAGAGCTTCTCGATCGCACCTTGCGACCCGTTTGCCAGTTGATGAATAGTGTCGCTGCTCAATTTCATATCAAGTTTCACAAGCACCTTTCGATTTAGCATCTTCCAGTTCTCCTTTTTTGTGTTTATGCTATTCGCCGGAACGTAATTGTGAAGTTCCACGTGTCGGGGATAGTATAATTTTAGGACCTCCGCCGTAAGAACTACCATGATGGATATAATGATTTAATTATGTTTTTAATGATGTAGATTAAATTAAATCTATTCGGTTTAGCCTATTTTTTATCTATTTCTTATTCTTAGAATAAGAAAAAGTTAAAAAGTAAGTTAAATCAAGATTAAAGCTAAATGCATATTAGTAAAAATAAAAATGAGCGTGACACTTTAATCATTATATAGTTAGAAATTTTGCTTTAAGCAATTTTGCTTAAATTAATTGCAGACCAAATTAATCAAGCTTTAAAATCGGCTTAAAATCGGTGAGTTTACCGGCGTCCGAGAAGTCCCTCGTTAAGTTTCTCGCGGGTCTCGAAAACGGGATGCCATCGATCCATTCGATGAGCTCCTTATTGTCGATCTGCGCTGTGTCACCAATCATTTTTCTTTTTACTTATTAATCAACCCGAGTCAATTCATATTTGAATCAATTTATTTGTCACGTTTCGGCGTATCAAGCGGACAATCGACGAGGAAACTTTGATCATGCTGTCATCTGATTTCCCTAGTGAGGCAGAGCAGAATCGCTCGTCGAAATAATGCGATATATCGATCACTCATATGCGCAATGTTCCTTTATTTTAAATTAATTACGAAGATAGTTGATAAAATATAGTATCAAGAAATATCTTGAAAATGTCAAATTTCAAGACAAATACCATTTTATTACGCTTTTATTAACACGAGATCTATTTCTTGTAGCGTCATGCTAAATTTTGTGCACTCAATACAAGATGGGTCATAAATAAATGTTGAAAAAGAAGAGGAAAATTAGAAGAAATATAGTAGATATGTATTTTGAGACGAGATAAATGCCTACAAAGAAGAACAAGGACATAAAGAGAAATATAGAATAAAATGAAGAAAGCACATGCATGGTATACCTATACATGTTTACAATAAAAGCATAAAATCAGTAATTATTTATACATATACACGTACATGTCAGCAATTAAAAATAATGTATGTTTTATTCTATTTTTCCATGCAACAATCATATATTGTTAAATAAGAATATTTACTTGTTTTTTAAAATTGCTTAATCAAAAATTGTGATATTACTACGGTAGTTGATTAGATTTGCGTTTTAAGTCCGACGGATGTTCGGCGCGCTCTGGGGGGAACTACTTACGTAGTATATAAAATTCACTCTTATATATGATCGCACTAATATAACAGCGAATAGCTCTCATTAGCCGTTATATTCTTGTTATTTGAAACTTTCGAGAATCTTCTTTAATTGATTTGTTAAATTTACTTAATTTTATAATATTTATTTTAAATTATATACGTTATAAAAGCTGTATTGAACATATTTCTTATTTTATGTCTCTTTTTTTATTTTATTTTAATATAAAGTATCAAATTCAATTAATAAATTATTAACATTAAAATACACTCACAATTACAATAAATTTTGTATCAATTAATATTTTTACTATAGTATACTAATATTTGTATTTTCTTTACTTTTTCTGAAATCTTAAAAAATATGTACACGCTTATTACGAGTAAATCTGTATGATTATTGAATTATTTTGCACTATAATTGCAGTTATAAAAAATTTGTTTACAAGTTAGTTTAGTATATAAAAATTAAAGTTTATTGTATTTTATAAATTTTTAATTAATAAAACAGAGCGTGTAATACGCGCGAGTATTTTCAAATCCATGTATGTTATTTTATCTAGAGATATCTTAGGAACATTTTGAATGCAATTCTCGTCCCGTTGACGAACTTTTTCTGCCAAGCTGTACCTGTGTACACCGTTATGACCGCTTGATATTGCTGTATTGCTAAGTAATTGTCATGGCTTCGGAACGATATAGTTTTTCGTTAACAACCTTCAGGTAAATATATATTTACAGTAACATAATAATTACCTACAAATCAGCGCGTTTCACACCAATATTCCATATCTGTGGTAAAAGACAGGTGTCACTGAAAACAGATTAATCAGTAACCTAACCTCTAAACTGGACCTACACTTGGCATATTCTCCATTTGTTATAAATAAAAATTTTTGCCTTAATTAACAGCGTCTTATTAATATCAGCTGTTTGTTGATAAATATATAATTATACGGTTTTAGTATATTTTATTTGAAAAACCAAGTATAAAACATATGACCGGATGACTCGTCAAAATCGTGGAATACATGTGTCAAATCTAAAAATACAAGCTCATCGATCATAATCGATCATATAGAAATTATATAAATAACACACATAATAACAAAAATAACATATTATTTATTATAATAATTTATGTACTATGTAATTCATATATCAATTAATCACATTGTGTTTTACAGTCCGTCAGGCAAGTTAGTTCAAATAGAATATGCCTTGGCTGCAGTAGCCGCTGGTGCGCCGAGCGTGGGCATTAAGGCGTTAAATGGTGTTGTTCTCGCTACGGAAAACAAACATAAATCCATTCTCTATGATGAACATAGCGTCAGCAAAGTCGAAATGATTACGAAGCATATCGGTATGGTTTACAGCGGCATGGGTCCAGATTACAGATTATTAGTAAAGCAAGCACGGAAAATGGCACAACAATATCTCCTAGTATATCGAGAACCTATTCCGACTGCACAACTCGTACAGCGCGTTGCGATGGTCATGCAAGAGTATACGCAATCTGGGTGAGTTATAGCAAATTTGGCCACTTACTATATCAGATTAGTGTGTAGTAAAAGCTGCTATTCATTATAATTGGTAAATGTGAAGGTGTATAAATATTTTAAATGATAATGATGTTATTTAATACATATATTATTTTATTGTTGAAATTTATTATATTATACCACTGCATTTAGATATTTTACATAAAGCAGCCTTAAATATGTACTGATCTAGTACAGTTCAAACAATCCAATTTTACATTCCAAGAACTATTAGTCTTCAACTGTGATTTGTACTTACGTTTAAATTTTTATATAAAGTTACATATTTTTAAATGTTAAATAATTATATGATTGAGTATAGATATGTAAGATGTCTTCTAATAGATAATTGGATAAGTGATAATACTAAATTCTTGCCATTGTTAATTTATAGAGGTGTTAGACCTTTTGGAGTGTCTCTTCTGATCTGCGGTTGGGACAATGACAAGCCTTATCTATTCCAATGTGATCCATCCGGCACATATTTTGCATGGAAAGCAACTGCGATGGGTAAAAATTTCGTTAACGGCAAAACGTTTCTTGAAAAGAGGTACAGCGAGGATCTGGAATTGGACGATGCCGTTCATACTGCCATCTTGACATTAAAGGAAGGTTTTGAGGGACAGATGACTGCGGACAATATTGAAGTCGGCATTTGTGACGCGAACGGATTCAGAAAATTGGATCCATCCAATGTGAAGGATTATCTTGCGAATATTCCTTAAGCTTATGTGTGAATTTCTTTTTTTAATATATTCTCGAAGTAAAACTTCGTAATCGTTAATAAATTTGAATCAGATTCTTGCAATAAATGTCCTTTATCCAAAGTAAAACAATTAATTGTGCTTCTTTTATAACAATCAAAAAATCGTATTAAATCAATTATATAACAGTTTATTTAGTAAGATATATATCTTATAACTATAAAACTCTCTATTGGTATCTTATTATAACTATATAGATGTGTGTGTGTGTGTATATATATATATATATATATATATATATATGTGTGTGTGTTAAGAATTTTCTACATCTCTGTTAGAAGATACTTCTAAATTTGATTTATCAATAACTGTTCATTTTAGCGAAATTTAATAATACACACATTATGTGTATGTGTGTGTGTATGTGTGTGTGGTTTATGGTATCTTTCGCTACTGTTCCAATACCTAGATCTCCAAACTTTTCAGTATATTTAATTTTTATAAGATTGTTCTACAGCTCTTATATCTCAATTCTTCATAAAATATGCACGAGACTCGAGATCTGCAAACTACGAGTCGATTGCACTCGTACGAAACCTCGCGTCACATAAAATTTAATAAATATAATTATTGACATTCTCTATTCATCATCATTACCATAATAGTATAAAAGGCATTACAGTTCAAGTTGTACCATAACTCTTCAATTGTTCAAGTCTACAGTAGAGAATCATTCTTAGCACTTTATATCTATAAAATTTATAAAGTTGAATATTTTATCTGTATAAGAATTTAATTTTTACACATATTTTGTATTCTCATATCTTGTGTCACAGTTTGAATGTTTCGAAGATTGAAGATATCTTAACGCAAAGTAATAATAAACGAAATATATATCCGAAAATCGTACCTTGGATATTCCGTAAGGTGGATAACGATCTTAGAACATACATATGGAAGGACCATATTATATCTAACAAATGTAATAAAGGTATCTCCAACATCTATCTGTCCTTGTTTGAAAGTTTGTTTGCTGTGCGCGTGATAATACTGCGTAATTTGAATTTAAAAAATATAGAACCGTTATCAAAATGGTATTCGAAATTTGAAAACGATGGAAAAGAATGTTCCCAGCTATTAAATTGGTTTTGCGTTCTAGTTATAAAGATACATACAGTTTGCAAAAAGATCTCTGTACTACATCTTTAGGAAACCTAAACACATTACATAATAAATTACATAATAAGTTTTTAAATTATTTCAATGTTGATTATACATTTAAATAAGCTATACATTTAAAATACACAGCTATATTTTATATATTTATTATATAATTTATATATTTACATATTTAAATTATATATATTTATATAATTTAAATTAATTCAATACACACATAACTTTAATGCTTGGCTTAAAATTATCTATGACGTACGGCTATACTTACGCATAAAGAGATATTTTGTTTTGCTCCGTTAATATATTTTATATTTTGAAATATAATGCAACAACGTCTCATTTTTTAAAATAATTTTATATTTTTACGTTTTGTGAGCGTTGAATGTATGTATGTATATACATATGGATATTCATAATGACATAATCGACGCATGTGCATTACGGTGAAGCATTCAGACAAAGCAGATAAATGATAAGGTCATCAACATTCCACAAGTCACCTATGGGTTCTATGGCTCTTATGTTTCTACCTGTTTCCACCGAGCACGTCATGCGTCGCGTCATGAAAGAGAGAAAGAGAGAAGTTTATATAAATGCACAACCCTTCTCTTTCTCTCCTTCGACGACGCGACGCGTGACGCGCTCAGTGGAAACTCAGCCCATGGTTGTATACTTCCACCATGACTCAGCCCCTTCCAGTATGTATGTTCTAAATCTAAGATCGTATGTCTAAGGGCTGCGCAGAATAAAAGGAACATAGAACAGAGAATATAAGAATGTCAACCTATCAGAAATCATGTACTATGAAATACACACTGTTTATTCCACAGTATATGATTTCTGATAGGTCGAAATTCTTATTTTTTGTTCTCTGTTCCCTGTTCCTTTTATCCTGCTTAACTCCTAATGATATTCAACAATATACAAAAAAGCATTAGTATGAAAGTGGTGGTGACGCGCATGCGTTGGGAAATCTATATATATATATATATAGTGTAAGAATATAGTGTAAAGTTTAGTAAAGGTATAGAATCGAAGACTCTCAATTTTATCTTTAGTACTGTGACCTACGCAGTTATCGGAAGACTTTATTGGATAGCGGAGAGTAAAAGAGTTTGAATATCTATTTTGTCTATTGTCCGAATTAAATTTTTGCATTGAGTGTTAT